GGTTCCCGGGGATCAGCCTTGATTAAGCGCAGGGGCTGGTCATCCATGGGGACCTTCAGGCTGTCCCGGCTATCAGGAAAGAACTGAGCGGGGAAGAGGAAAGCAGCCAGTCCTGAGTGCTCCGGGCAGCAGAAGCCTAGCCCCTAAGCCTAGCACGTGGTCTAACACTCACCAGGTGGGGTGCACAGGCCAGGCGACTCAAACCTGGAAAAGGCACCCTCCCGTCCCCAGCCCGGGAGCCCTGAAACATAGTCCCTAGGACAGGACCCAGCTCTTGAGTTTCAGTGCAAGCTAAAGTTGGAGAAGCGATGCGCTAGGTTATTGAGGAATTCTAAGTGTGACTCAGCTACGGTGAAGTTGTTTTGAAATGTCAGCCTCAGGCTGCCCTGAATTCATTGGTGAGACCGCAGCCCTTTACACCTGTAATGGCAGGTCTACTGTCTCCTGAGTGCTGGAATTACAGTCGTGTGCCACCTCCTCTAGTTTAAGTGAGGTTGTTTTAAATATACATACTTGGGATTTTCCAGCTTTAATGAGTTGTCATCTATAACGATACTCATTTATTTTAGGCATTGTCGCATTTTTATTTATCTATTTTATTTATTTTTACAGTGCTGCGGGTGGCCACAGGTCCTCATTAATTCCAGGCAAGTACTCTACTATTGGGCCTATAAATGAACAAAAATCCCTGTTTTGTTCATTTATTTAGTTGTTTTCTCGTAACTATTAATTTTCTGAGACAGCTTCTCAGTATGTATCCTCTGACCTCCACATGTATACCATGACACACACAAATACACACATGAACATATGCACACATGTAATGTACAAATAAATACATATCCTAGATAAAGCTGTTTTTTTAAGTTTTAAAAAGCAGGATCTCAAGTAGTACAGACTATACTCGAACTTACTACAGTTTTGGTTGTTGTTTTGATTTTAGAGGACAGGGTCTCTATTATGTAGCCCTGGCTGCCCTGAAACTATGTAGAACAGGCTGGCCTTGAATTTGCAGAGATCTGCCTGCCTCTGCCTCCCAAATGCTAAGATTAAAGGTGTATACCACCGAACTCACTCTCACATTCTCTTTTGATAAACAGATTGTAGTTAAATTACATTATTTTGACAGATGAGAATCTAATGTCCTGTTCTCACCTGGATCTTCAGTTTGGCCATTACACTTAGTTCTGTCCAGGTGCTGAGTAGGAGGATTGCCACAAATAAGAGGCTAGCTTGGGTTACGTGTCACTTTAAATAGACGTCCCTAGACCTGATGTCCCTTCTTAGTAATTTGCCTCTTACTAAGCCCCTCACTCACACCCTGTTACATGTTCATAATTGTATGTTCTGCTTAGGGCCCAGCTAGATCACTCTCCTAATGTAATGGTGTCAACCCCTGTTTCAACAGCTGAGAAAAGTGTCCTTCAGTTTTTTTGTTTGTTTGGTTTTTTGTTTGTTTTTTTTGTCTTTCTGAGACAAAATTTCTCTGTGTAGCCCTAGCTGTTCTGGAACTCACTCTGTAGATCAGAACGCAGAAATCTGCCTGCCTCTGCCTCTTTAGTGCTGGGATTAAAGGCGTTTGCCACCATCATCCAGCTTCTTCCTTCAAATTTTAATGTGCAGAGTAAGTTTTTCTTGGCCAGGGAGATGGCACAGCAGGTTATGGCTCTTGCTGTGGAAGCCTGATGACCTGTGGAAATAAATGGTTCCATCCAAGTAAAGCCTGGTAGATCATTGATTTTACTGGGGTTAATTACAGGAGCCTGGGTGACTCAAAAGTAGCTGTATCAGAGAAACATGCCACCCACAGACGGTTGAGGAATGTGTCACAGGCTCTTGACTGCTCAACCTTCCCCTTCTGTACACTCAGCATTCCTGAAGATCATAAGGAGCTCAGTGAGGAAGGCAGCAGGAACCCAGGTGAAGGTCCAGGGACTTTTTCCCCAGACCCATGACTGTCACATTATCCCCGGCTGTCCCTGTTTGCCTATTTTGTTCTATGGCTGCAAGGCCCATGTATCGTTTGATCGACTCAGCAACTTCTGCTTCCTGATGACGACCACGTTGTTTGGGAAAGAAAGTGACCCCTCAACCCTCTCCGCCTTCCTCCAGCTCGTAAATTCTTTCTGCTGCCTCTTCAGCCATGTTCAGTCTTTGATGGGGTGATGTAGATATGATTCTTTCCTAATCACTGGGACACTACACCAAAACAACAGCTGCTTGCCTGTCCCACGAGCGTGACTGGTTATCAGGCTCCGCAGTCACCTCCACCCACAGCAGAAAAGAGTTCCCTGGGCCTCAGCTGAAAAGTCCTATATGGCTGTAGACACAAACACACTTCCATTTCCTGAAAAACAGCCTTAGCCTCCGGCTGGCACCTACAACTAGTCAGCCACAGGGTTTTGCCCTCACATACAGTACCAAACTTGAGTTTTCAACTCTGGAGTGGGTGCGGTCTTAAACCCAACCAGAAAGTAGTTGCTTGTACCTATAACTGTCATGACACTACTGCAAGTAGAGTAAATGTCTGGCCCACATGTCAGGAGTGAGTGAGTGAGATCCGGAACTGAGCAGGACCGACAGCAACTATTCTTTCCTAGCAGTTGGCACAGTGCCCTCTGGTGCTGTGTATGCCAATCAGGAAGGAGGCCTCAGGCTCTGCCCAAGTCTCTGTGTCCTGCACTTAGAGGATATAGTGTTTGGGCAAGACGGATTTGCCATCCAGTTCTGGCGTGCAGCCACCAACAGTGGCAATGGTGTTTATTTTAGGTTCACAGGGACCTTTCTGTTCAGCCGCTCATAAGGTGGTAATCCTCCCCAGTTACTGGGGTTTTCACCTAACATGCTCTCGGCCTTCTCACTTTAAAAACATTTTGTTTTGTGTGATTGAGTGTTTTGCCCGCATGTATGTATACCTTCTGTGCACCACTTGTGTGCCTGGTGCCTGCAGAGGCCAGGAGGAGGTGTCAGAGCCCCCAGCAGCTGGAATTACAGATGCTTGAACCTCCATGTGGGTGCTGGGACTCGAACTTTAGTCTTCTGGAAGAGCAGCCAGGGCTTCAAATGCTGAGCTGTCTCCAGCCCCTTTTCTTAGTGTAAGACCCTTGGAAAGCTGAGGCTTCCAGAATCTTATCCCAAGACCTCGGCCACCCCAATCACAGAATGGAGGCGAAAGCTTGATGCAAATTGCATGAGGCTTTATTGTAGTTTAACGAGCTAACCCCATGTTAGCTCGGGTCTTTCACCCACCCACCGTGGCAGATGGCTAGCAAAGACAGTTTGAAGTCACTGCTGCACAGATCTTTATAGGGCAGCGTAAGGGGAGTGTCTAGGGGTACGCACAGGCTCAGGATTGGTGTGCCTCCAGGCTTGGAGGGTTTGCCCTGTGTTGATTGGTCAACTGGTTGTTATGGCCCATAGGCCCTCCCAGGGTGGTTGCTATGCTCTCTACGTCATTGCTGTGCACTTGTCCGTAAAGCACACCCAGGGTCGTAAAGCATAGCGCCACCAGCTAACTTCTGATTGGCTCCTTGTCACGAGACAGGCATCTGACTTTCTAGTGTCTAGGATAAGGTCATAGAAGCACGTGTTCAGCCGTTATGGCTGCCAAAAGGGAAGCTGGTCCCTTCATTAGTTAAAACAAAAAAAAAAAAAAAACAAAAGACCCAGATTGGCCGGGCGTTGGTGGCGCACGCCTTTAATCCCAGCACTCGGGAGGCAGAGGGAGGTGGATCTCTGTGAGTTCGAGACCAGCCTGGTCTACAAGAGCTAGTTCCAGGACAGTCTCCAAAGCCACAGAGAAACCCTGTCTCGAAAAACCAAAAAAAAAATGCACATGTGTGCATGCGTGCATGCGTGTGTGTGTGTGTGTGTGTGTGTGTGTGTGTGTGTGTGTAGGTCCATACATGCCACAACACATATGTGGCGGTCAGAGGACAACTTGCTGTAGTGAGTTCTCTTCTTGGACCAAGTAGGTCACAGGGGTCAAAACCAAGGTTGTCAGGGTGGTGGCAGGACTCTATGTAGTGAGCATCTTGCTGGCCCCACTGAAAATGAAGAGTATGGGCTCAGAACCCCAAGACCAAATTCTCAGACCAGCTAAAAAGGAGATTGATTTT